GTGGTGTGTGTGGTTCCTCAGTGGTGTGTGTGGTTCCTCAGTGGTGTGTGTGGTTCCTCAGTGGTGTGTGTGGTTCCTCAGTGGTGTGTGTGGTTCCTCAGTGGTGTGTGTGGTTCCTCAGTGGTGTGTGTGGTTCCTCAGTGGTGTGTGTGGTTCCTCAGTGGTGTGTGTGGTTCCTCAGTGGTGTGTGTGGTTCCTCAGTGGTGTGTGTTCCTCAGTGGTGTGTGTGGTTCCTCAGTGGTGTGTGTGGTTCCTCAGTGGTGTGTGTGGTTCCTCAGTGGTGTGTGTGTGGTTCCTCAGTGGTGTGTGTTTGTGTGGTTCCTCAGTGGTGTGTGTGTGGTTCCTCAGTGGTGTGTGTGGTTCCTCAGTGGTGTGTGTGTGGTTCCTCAGTGGTGTGTGTGGTTCCTCAGTGGTGGGTGTGGTTCCTCAGTGGTGTGTGTGGTTCCTCAGTGGTGTGTGTGTGTGTGGTTCCTCAGTGGTGTGTGTGTGGTTCCTCAGTGGTGTGTGTGTGGTTCCTCAGTGGTGTGTGTGTGTGTGGTTCCTCAGTGGTGTGTGTGTGGTTCCTCAGTGGTGTGTGTGGTTCCTCAGTGGTGTGTGTGGTTCCTCAGTGGTGGGTGTGGTTCCTCAGTGGTGTGTGTGTGGTTCCTCAGTGGTGGGTGTGGTTCCTCAGTGGTGTGTGTGGTTCCTCAGTGGTGTGTGTGGTTCCTCAGTTGCTTTGGTACGTTTCTGGTTTGGCTAAACCACTTCAAATTCGACGTTTATCACATAGTTCCCAATTATTATTCTCAAAATATACTCTTGCACGAAGATACATTTAAAAAATCCTCACATATGAGCATTAATAAAATTATGTCTTAAAATCCGGTTTCATCACAGACAGTAGGATTAAATCCCTTATTAAGTTCCAATATAAGCAAAAGAATTAAATTATCCAGATCCTTTAAAATCAATAGGATTAACTCCTTATCCAGATACTTTAAGGAAATCTCAGTCGAATGATAATCTAATTTTCTTCTCCGGCGATTCAGTAATCCATTTTTAATATTGATCCTTAATTATAATCTCTTCTTACTCATGATTTATCCATGTTACTCATGTTCATATTTTAGATTATATTTCCATTTTGTTCAGACTCAACACTCAGGACTTCTATATCACTACTGAAAATGGCCGGTTTTCTCCTCCAAGTGAAGTCCATGTACTCACCATCATGCAAGTGACGAGTTAAAATAGTCTGATTCATCTTAAGAACACAAGAATATTAGACACTGTAGAAGGTCAACACGAAGCCTCCTATTGGTCCATACAAGGCAGCTCCTAGTGGTTCATGCGAGGCAGGTTCTATTGGCCCATACGAGGCAGCTACTATTGGTCCATAAGAACATAACATAAGAACAAAGGTAACTGCAGAAGGCCTAATGGCACATACGAGGCAGCTCCTATCTATAACCACCCAATCCCACTCATGTACTTGTCCAACCCGCGCTTGAAACAATCGAGGCAGCTCCTAGTGGTTCTTGCAAGGCAGGTCCTATTGGCCCATACGAGGCAGCTCCTATTGATCCATACGAGGCAGCTACTATTGGCCCATACGAGGCAGCTCATATGGGTCCATACGAGGCAGCTACTATTGGTCCATACGAGGCAGGTCCTATTGGCCCATACGAGGCAGCTACTATTGGTCCATACGAGGCAGCTACTATTGGCCCATACGAGGCAGCTCCTATTGGCCCATACGAGGCAGCTCCTATTGGCCCATACGAGGCAGCTCCTATTGGCCCATATGAGGCAGCTCCTATTGGTCCATACGAGGCAGCTCCTATTGGCACATACGAGGCAGCTCCTATTGGCCCATACGAGGCAGCTCCTATTGGCCCATACGAGGCAGCTCCTATTGGCCCATATGAGGCAGCTGCCACCTACAGCATATCCACCAAAACTCTGCCACACATATTCCCAATAAGTGTGTTAGAGAAGTAAATATGTCCAATTTATCTTCGTGAACTTAAAACTGTCGGCGATGTTTGCGTTATTTACTGTTTAATAACACGCACTCACAAACACCCCTTCATATACATACCCTGACATACACACCTCTGACATACACACCCTGACATACACACCCCTGACATACACACCCTCACACATACACACCTCTGACATACACACCCTCACACATACACACCCTCACACATACACACCTCTGACATACACACCCTCACACATACACACCCTCACACATACACACCCTCACACATACACCCCCTTACACATACACACCTCTGACATACACACCCTCACACATACACACCCTCACACATACACACCCTCACACATACACACCCTCACACATACACACCTCTGACATACACACCCTCACACATACACACCCTCACACATACACACCCTCACACATACACACCCTCACACATACACACCCTCACACATACACACCCTCACACATACACCCCCTTACACATACACACCCTCACACATACAC